TAGCAAGTAAACAAGTTGTATGTATAAGTAGGTATGATAACACAATGACCTAACATGTTATATTTATACAAACTAGTAGGGATATCCACGCATTGTGACATGTTTACTAAACCTATATTTTTGACACAATTTTTGTAATGTTTTATTACACATTGATCATGTCTATAATTCCGTTATTACGCATGGTCTATGAGTGTAATTTTGTCTTATATATGGACTGTTTTGTAATTTTAGTATTACATAAGGACTATTTCTATAATTTTGCTAATACATGAGGATCATTTTTGTAATACTGTTGATATACAGGGACCATTTATGTAATATCAGGAGCCTTTGGTATTACGTAGTCACCATTTTTGTAATTTCGATATTACACATGTCCTATTTATGTAATCTCGCTTTTGTACCGTGACCATTTTTGTATTATCATTAGAACAAATTACGCAAATGGTCCTTTAGGTTTTGGATTTTTCCCTAATGTAGTCCCTACGATACTTTTTTCCCTCAAATAGTACCTACGGACCATAAGTTGCACGCGTTTGGTCCCCGAGTTGGATGTCCGTCCATTCCAACGTTAAGCTGCTCCATTTGACTTGCACACGAGGGTATTTATGTCATTTTAGCCTAAATGACCTTTTCTGAACATATAAATTAATAGCTATATCCATTAAGGTGGCGGGGTTTAGTTTCAGACATTGACTTTACACTCTATCTCTTTCCCCAAGAAAACCTTTTGATCATCCCATCTTCTTCAATCGTGAGTTCTTATCGTCGTCCGACAAAACAGTTCAACTGAAGGGTGTATCGAGGAAAATGGTGCTCACATTGTGGTCTTTACGTCCACGCTACACCCAACCACCTGACCTACGTAAAGAATATGGTAAGCACGGACAGAAGTAATGCTAGGTTTTGACGAAATGTAATTTTACTTTCCTCCATCATTAACATTTTATTGTTCTTGAATGTTCACATCAGGTTCTATTTCAAGCTTTTGCACATTCAAGATAAATCATGGGGGTTCGTTCACAAATACGGTATCTGGAAGGTCATACATAGATGGGCTTGTGGATCACTTTGATTTTGTGGACATGGATGTGTTTTCAGTCCACGAGTTAGATGATATGATGACATTTTTAGGGTACAATGATGGAGGTATAATGTTTTACCATTTCATGATCCCAGAGACAGACTTGGATAGTGGATTGTTACCCCCTTGGCACCGATCAGGAAGTCATTCAGCTGGCAAGGTATGTGGTTAATCATAAGGAAATTAATTTGTACATCGAGCATGGAAATACTAGAGTAGTCCCTTACTTTAAGTCCCCGTTGAAGGTTCGTATTGAGGAAGTTGAAGGGAATCATTCTCCTGAAATGAATAAGGTTAGAATGAAAAGGAAATCAGTTGGGTCATGTAGTAAAAAGTTGGATTTGAATGAGTCCACTGATTTGTCAAAGTTAATTGTACCCTATGAACCTCTGATCAACAAAAAACACTCAGTTGATCGAGAGAGTGTTCTCTTTAGGGGGGTACAGTTTGAGGATAACCATGGTAAAAAAGATGTTGACACAGGGGATGATCACCAACCAAAAGGGGATGTTGATCCAGTGGATGATTATGAGGTAATGGGGGATGTGGACGCAGAATATGGTGGGGAAAAAAATCTACATGATGTTGAGTTTTTTGAGGATGAATACAGTGGAAGTAAGGAAAATGTTAGTGAGGGTCCTTGGAGTGAGGGTAGTAGGAGTGAGGGTAATATGACAGATGATGAGAGTGAGGACGAAGACTTCTTTGTGGATTTAGAAAATATTGTAGATGATGTGGATGTTGATATGAAAGAATTTCATATACATGTTGATGAAGATGTTGAGTGGGTTAAAAAAACCACCAAAGAAGCAAGTGGTAGTGGTGTTGACTTTACTGAAGGTGAAGATTTGGAGGTCATAGACCCAGAATCGTTTGAGTCACCTATTGTAGATGAAGATAACAACAAAGAGAGGATGTTGAGAGACATAAACTGTCCAAGAGGTGGACCACTGTCACATGTGGAAAGTGCAACAACAAAGGGCATAATTCAAGAACTTGTAAAAGGTCAAGGTGGTCCTAATGACAAAAGAACAGAAGAAACAGGAGGATAGAAGTGAGGATGGGGGTGTTGTTGAGAACCATTAGGTCTTTTGATGTAATTTGCACTTTAATTTTATGGTTATGTTAACACCTATGTTTATGTACCAAACAATACGTACTTTGGGCTCCTTATTTTGTATGGTCATGCATGTTGACCTTCAATCATTGTACACATAGGTAAACTATGAAACAATGTCAACTGTTGTTGTGATATACAATAGCAATTTTGTTATATTCTTGTTCTTGTCAACTAGTATTTGTGATATTCAAAGTGTATGGTCATGCATGTTGAATTGGTGTTCTTGTCAAATCACACGATTGCACAAAGCCATGACACAATAACCTTGTTCTGAAATTAAACCATTTGATTACACAAAGACTATAACATTAAGACAACATTAACCAGAACATAATTTCCTGCAGTCAACCTCAAAAAATACACAAACACTACATAAACCATGCTACAATTTCCTGTCTTCAGACTCAAAATAAGACCACCATTACATTAACCCTATGACTACGACACTACTTCTTGCATTCAGACACCACATTCAGAGGCAACTTCAACCATGCTTCAAGTAACGAATTGCAAAAAGACCCCAACTGAAGAGAATGATTAACTTATACATCCTAGCTTGCAGTGTAGCTTGTTGAAGAGATTCTTGGAGCTTGTTCATAGACCTAATTAACCCAGGTATCACTTCAACCGATCTAGGGCACATGGGCTCATCAAACCACCCAATCCAACCACACCTTCTCTCATTACGAAGACAATACCAAAATCGCCTTCCAGGGTTGCGATCTGACCAGGAAGTGACGATGGCTAGATCACGATTTCCACAAGCACATATCGGCATTTTCCACAGCTTTCTTTCTCTAACAGTAGTAGTGATCGATTGAATGAGGAGGAAGAACAAGAAGAAGTAATATAGGCGTTAATATATATGTTCAGAAAAGGTCCTTTAAGCTAAAATGACATAAATACCCTCATGTGCAACTCACATGGGGGCAACTTAACGTTAGAATGGACGGACATCCAACTCGGGGACCAAACGCGTGCAACTTATGGTCCGTAGGTACTATTTGAGGGAAAAAAGTACCGTAGGGACTACTTTAGAGAAAAATCCAAAACCTAAAGGACCATTCGTGTAATTTGTTCTTATCATTATTATTACATACTATTTAAGTAATTATTTCTTATAGGGACTATTTTTGTAACTATTTTTTAGAGGGACGATTTCTGTAAATACTTAATTTTTTACCAGGGATCGTTTTTATAACTTTGTAAATCTTACAGGGACCAATTATGTAACTATTTCTTATAGGGACCGTTTCTATAAATCTTAATTTTTCTTAGGGACTATTTATGTAACTATTAGATTGGTATTACTGTATTTTCTTGAAAAATGAAGGCTTCTTTCTTATTTTTCATGGAATTTAAGACTGGTATATATAATTATGCATAACTTCAAACAAAAAACGTGAAAACGCCCGTTTTGCGAAACAAGTTTAGGTTTTCACAAAGTATTTTTAGCTTGCTAATTCTTCTTAGTTGGTGAAACAAAGCAAATAAGTAACTAGTTTTGCGAATTATATATTCAAAAATTACTTATTTGATGTCAAAATCATTGCAGAAATGTTTTGTTACATAATAGTGTGCACTAGAGAAATTGAGGAGAGTTTCGTCAACGTTTCACGAAAAATATATTATTAAAAACATAAAACATAAAAGTTAAATTAGCATTGTGAGTTTTACAAAACACAAAATCATTATTTCGAAAAAGATGATATATTAATATTGAAAATGTATTCGAATAGTAATAGCACACATGATGTTTTAATATTTTTGTGATTAATAAATTAATATTTCATAAATACACATGGGCGTTTTTGAGGGTGTGCGAGGTGGGCGACCGCACATAACTCATGTCGTAGAGGGGGGACAGTTTTACATATGATTAAGTCCATAATCTAGCAATCGATAACCCAGTAATCAAAAAGACAAAAGCTCATGTATTTTTCAATTCCAATAGCTAACATTACAATTAAAAATTGCAACAACTCATGTTTTGAAAAATTATGGTTAAAATTAAAAATTGCATTTGGGCTAATGTAAACTTACAGTAAATAATAGCTTACGTTTTATTCCAATTTCAAACTTCCAAATTTAAAGTAACTATAAAACTCAAACGACATATTTTGTTTCTTGATTTCCTGATTTCACTAGACTCCACATCTCGTTTGTTTATATTGCACTCTCATTCTATCTTTTTATTGTTAATTGAAATTAAACAACTAAGTATTTTACTATTCCTAATTTCTAAATCTGATGGCATTTCATTTTATATTATGATTGTTGTCGTTGATTAATGAATGTGACACACTAACAAAAATATTCTAAATAACTGAATATTGTTATGAGAGTCTTCAGTATTATCATTTTTCATTGTCTTTATAACATTTATCGAGTTATGGTCGTATACACAAATTTTGTTTATATACATATAGAAGAATTATATTTAGGTTCCATTTTTAATTTTCGTACCTTGGCCCTCAAAATCAAAGAAAAATCCCCAGTAAATACACGTATAACCCAACCATAATTATTCCAAAATATTAAAATCATGATTATTGTACAAAACATTTGACCCCTTTAACAATATTATCATATTCGAACAAACTGCTTGGATCAAAGCTTCGGAGTTGCCGTGTTATGCATGCAGGAGACTATCTTACATGATAGGATCCGACAACAACAAGTAACCCATGACGATTACCTACTAACACACCAGATTCCATCAACGTGCAAGCACGAAAGCTATGAACGCACATATATATATACGCGGTTTTTGAACACTCAAGAAAACAGAAGCCGATTTTCCCGCGAACCAAACAAAATCTTTGTTTTGATTTTCTGTCTTTCCCGAACCGGCGAGAGTGAGGAGAGAGAAATCCCAAAAATCCAAATAAAAAAAAACTCCTATCAAATTCACCTTCATCGTCTCCTCCCGTCAACGCTTGATTCATATCATATCTTTTCATCCGTTTGTTTGAATCCCTATACTATTTGGTCTTTGCCGTAAAAATTCTTGATTTTGAGGTATGACATTACTTTGTTTTCCATGATCCTGTAATTACACGAATATTTTGATTTCCCTCACGTTTCTTTGTAAAATTGTTTATGGGTATTACCTGTTTGAGTAAATGCCTCAATGGAAGAATCAATCCTCATTGTTTCTTCTTATGATTGATCCAAACATATAACCCTCCAAGTTACACCCTTTTTGTTGGATCAACATTTTCTTGGAGTGATTAACATGTTTCAATCATGGGTAATGCAGGAAGTCTTTTAGGTAAAATCGCATATGGTTTATTGAGACAAGAGTATATTTTTGGATTTCTGTGCCTTCTATTTGAAGGATGTCTTGTTGTGGAGGTGGCGAAGAGGAAACCTATAGTGGTACACCCTCAAACAATATTGCTACAGCACCACCTCGAGGACCACCTTATGGTGGAGGTAAGAAACTAAGCTCCACCACATCCATGGTGGATTCTTCATTCTTGTTGCATATATATATGACATCATTCGTAACCAAAAAGATGAAGTCTTTATAAGTGTTTTTGATGTAATTTGTGTTTTTAGGGAGTAATAGAGGAGAGCCAAGGGGTAATGGACCTGCAAGAAGTGGGGCCCCTCAAAAACCTTTACCAATTGAAACACCAGCAGTGTCTTTAAGTGAGCTAAATAGGATGACAGATAATTTTGGCACAAAATCTTTAGTTGGTGAAGGTTCTTATGGAAGAGTCTTCCATGGAAAACTAAGCACAGGTGAAGAAGCAGCAGTAAAAAAACTGGATACAAGCTCTTCACCTGAGCCAGATAATGATTTTACAGCCCAGGTGAGAATTAATGCAAAAAATTGGATCATCAATAGGTCCTAATAATGCATGTTTTACAATTTTACAAATATTATATGCAGTTATCCTTGGTTTCAAGGCTTAAAAACGAGTATTTTGTTGAATTAATCGGTTATTGCTTGGAGGGAAACAACCGTATCTTGATATATCAGTATGCAACCATGGGTTCTTTACATGATGTATTACATGGTAAGTACACACACACAACAATTCATATTCTTTTTTATTTCTAGTCTTAATTTATAAAATTTTAAAAAAAATGGTGTATTTTATTTATTTAATAGGGAGAAAGGGTGTACAAGGAGCGGAACCTGGTCCAATCCTGACATGGATTCAAAGAGTTAAAATTGCATATGGAGCAGCAAGAGGTCTTGAATATTTACATGAAAAAGTTCAACCTTCAATTGTTCATCGTGATGTTAGGTCAAGCAATATTTTATTGTTTGATGATTTTCGAGCCAAAATTGCTGATTTTAATTTGAGCAATCAGTCTTCTGACACTGCAGCTCGCCTACATTCAACTAGAGTGTTAGGAACTTTTGGCTACCATGCTCCTGAGTAAGTCTGTCTGTTGTCTGTGTTGTCTGGATAAATTATGTTTAAAAAAAGATTCTTTTTCTCTTACATCTTTTTGACTTGCTTTATAGGTATGCAATGACAGGACAGATAACTCAGAAAAGTGATGTTTACAGTTTTGGAGTTGTTCTTCTAGAACTTTTGACCGGAAGGAAACCGGTTGACCATACGATGCCGAAAGGACAACAAAGTCTTGTTACTTGGGTGTGTTTTGCTAATAATAATAATCTGTACTCAAATATCTAAATTTGTTTCAATAATCAATACTTTGTTTTGGTTCAGGCAACTCCTAGGTTAAGTGAGGACAAAGTAAAACAATGTATCGATCCAAAGTTAAACAATGATTACCCACCAAAAGCCGTTGCAAAGGTCTACTCTCTCTCTTTCTTTTACACACAAAACAAGTGATTTATCTGTCTCATGTTGGTTGTGGGACCAACATGAGACAGATAAAATTTACTTTTTCATTTTCTTTTCTTTTTAATAAAATTTGATAGTAAATTGTTGTTGTTTGACAGATGGCGGCAGTGGCGGCGTTATGTGTGCAATATGAGGCGGATTTCAGGCCAAATATGACGATTGTTGTCAAGGCTCTGCAGCCGCTTTTTAATTCGAAACCAGCAGCGGCAGCAGAGCCTCAAACTTCGTAACCAAATTTCTAGAAAGTTTTATCTAGAAATCTTAGTTTGAAATGTACTAGAAAATCAATTATGGAATGGAATTGAATTCTTCTCAAAAGTCAAAAGTAGAAACTCTTAGGGGGTGTTTGGGATTGCTTTTTGAACTCCAAAAGTGCTTATTGACTTATGGTTGTGGCAAAAAAAAGTTTTTAAAAAAGTGTTTGAATTAGCTTTTGTGGTGGCAAAGCAATAAGTCAATAAGTTAAAAAGTGTTTGGCTTAAAATCTTCTTTTTGAAGCTATTGTGGTTAAAAAGTTAAAAGGAGTTAAAAAAAAACAAGTTTTACATTCTTTTTGAAATCTTCTTTTGAAGCTATTTTATAAATGTTTTTGACTTTGTTAAACATTTTTTTTGACTTATTGGTTTTTCAAAAAACCAATAAGTTATTTTGAAAAGCAATCTGTAGACATGTTCCAAGAGCCAACTTGTCCGAATTTCAAATTTTTGTAATTTTCTTGGTCAGAGAATTTGTAAAAGTTATTCTTATACGAATGAAAGAGTTGATATTGATTTTAGGGCTAAATATAAGAAATAGCAACATACTTTTATTTATGTTTTTTATAGCATCATTCTTCAATTTCTCTCTCTTAGAACATGTGTACTTTCAGTTTTTTTTATTAAAAGCAATGTAATTTCAATTTTTTTTATCAAGTTTCCAAATTTGTGTAATTATACAAATGGAAATTGTATTGTATTTACATGATATTGCTATAAGTTGAAAGATTTACAAAAATACAAGGGAAAACTCCATAAAAATTCTTATATTTGGGCATCATAATCGATTTACTCCTTATATATATATTATATATATATATATATATATATATATATATATATATATATATATATATATTCAATTAAGTCCCAAAAACTTGCAGTTGGGGGTGAGCAAACCCAAACCAAGAAACCGAGAAACCGACGGAACCGAAACCGAAACAAAACCGACGGTTAGGGTTTGAATTTTTTAAAAACCGAAAAATCGGGTTTGGTTTCAGTTTTTACCTAGAAACCGACCCATCCAACCCGAGAAACCGACTCATACTTGATTGTTTTTTTGTTGTAATAGACAATTTCGTATGGATGTGCAAAAAATCGCAAAAACCGCCCGCACTGTACCAAACCGCACCACATAATGCGGTTTAGAATTTCGTGGTGCGGTTTGTGGTTCATCATTTTATCAAACCGTACTATGCGGTGTGGTTTGTGGTTTGTATTTATAAAACCGCGGTTCAAACCGCACCGCACCGCATTATATATATATATATATATATATATATATATATATATATATACATATTTATTCTTTATTTTGTTATAACTTCGAATCACGATTTAGAAACGATATATATAAATATATTTCTTACAATAACCAAATATCTATAACATAACATTAAATTACTATTAGATCAAGATTCCACGATTTACAAGAATATAACAACTATAACGTCAATATACAATAATAACAATGATACTTACAAAACTATAGTAGCATGAATCACAATTTATTAAAAACTATTTAACTTGAAAATTGCATATGTTTTTATAAAACAAAAGCAATCAATTTTTTTTAAGCGGGTCAGTTTTTTGGTTTTTTGATAGATTTAATGTTAAACAACTCATCAAACCGCACAAACCGCAACCAAACCGCATAAACCGCCCGCATAAAACCGCACCACATAACGCGGTTTTGAACATTTGTGGTGCGGTTTGCGGTTTCAAAAATATTTAAACCGCATATGCGGTGTGGTTTGCGGTTTTGATTCTAAACCGCACCAAACCGCACCATGCACACCCCTACTATTTCGGGCTTTGGTTGTAACTTGTAATACAATATTTGGTTGTAAGACTCATATTTTTTGAAGTATTTAACTTCAATTTGGTGTTTTTTAAAGTATTTAACTTCTTGTTTCATTTCTGGAAAATGGATTAAAACCCAAAACCCATGGATTTAAACCCAGAACCCGTGAGTGTATGGATTGAACCCAAGAAACCGTAAAACCGACCAAACCGACCTCAAACCCAAGAAACCGAACCGACCATAAATCGATCCTATTGGGTTCTGAAAACTAAAAACCGACCATTTATGGGTTTGGTTGAGTTGGGTTTGGGTCCAAAACCGACCCATGCACAGCCCTACTTACAGTTGTATTCATTTTGACTATTTTACCCGGTCAATAGGTTATCCCACTTTCAAAATTTACACTTGTCCTAGATTTTAAATTCCATTATAAATGTGGTCAAAATTTTACACTTTTGGCTAAGGTTTCAAAATTTTGTTACGAGTTCATATTTAGTTTTTTTACATTATTTTTTTAAATTTTTGTTTCGAATATGTTTTTTTTTTTGCTTTATAGAATCATATTTATACAAAAAAAAATATATCATTCACATAAAAAAAATCTATATAAAAACCTTTTTTTAACGTGTTTGTACACAAATGCATTTATTATAAAATAGGTGTTTATAGAAATACGTTATTACAAAAAAAAATGTATACAAACACCTATTTGTATATATTTTTGTTTATAAAAACGTGTTTGTATACATTTTTTTTTTATAAAAACGTGTTTGTTTACATTTTTTTATAAAAATGTTTTTGTATACAAATGCATTTATTATAAAATAGGTGTTGGTATATATATATTTTTTAAAATACGTGTATACTTTTTTTTATAAAAACGGATTTATATTTATTTATGTATTTATATACACAATATTTTTTATCTACTTAATAAATACTTATTTTATAAAAGTTATTTACGATATATATTGATATAATAACGTATTTTACATAAGTGTACTTCACGCATTTTCACATAATTATGGTTGTGTTTGATATTGGTCTGGCTGAGTCGGCTCAGACCTTTTTGGCTGACTCGGTCAGCTATATGTGTTTGATAAACATTTTATGTGTGTCTGATTCGGAAATCTAAAGCTGATTGAGAAAGAAGTTGGAAATCAGCTGACTGAGTAAAGGAGAAAAGTTTCCATCGGTGCCCTTTCTTCTCCCCTTTCAGCGACTCCTCTTCTCCAGCATCCAGCAAGCAACGTCGACCTATTTCTTCAACTTCCAACCGTCGATCGAAGCTCCTTCCTCGTCTATCGGGTACGTTTCTGCTGTTCTTTTCTTCTCCAGCCGATCAAAGCTCCTTGCCCTAAAACTTCCGATTTTTGCCATCGTCAACCCCAATCTTTCTGTAGAAGTTTCGATTTATGCTGTTGAGAGGGATACAGGTTTCGATTTTTGCTGTTGAATATTCTTTGGCTGTTGAGAGAGATAAAAGTTCTGATTTCTGCTTTAGGTTTCGATTTTTGTTGTTGTTAGCTGTTCCCTTCATGGTTCCTGTTGAGAGAGATATGTATTGAACTGTTTTTGAATCAAAATTGATATTCAAAGCATTAGTCAAAGCTGTTCTTGCGTATATTTTGGAAATTATTTGTCTCTTTCAGTAAAGATTAGGGGCAAATGTGTCTTGAATTCCTTCTCATCATAAATGCTAGTCTTGTATTTTTTTTTTGGTGGGTCAAACCTCTTATTGTCTCTTATATTATTCCAGTTATGTCTTTGAGTTAAGATTACAGGCAAATGGTTCTCGGGTCAAGATTTGGTCCAAATGCGCCTTGTATTCCTTTAACTGATCAATGCTTAAATTCTTATTCTATTCATATTGTAAACATTCTAACAAAGTATATGTAGGTCATATTTTAACCTTATGTATTTCATGTATGAGATGTAGCATATGTGCTCAAATGGAGTGCCGAATATAGCCATCAATGGTTATATTTTAGTTTAGGAATATAGCCATCAATGGTTATATTTTAGTTTAGGTTGTTGTGTTTGATATTTATCTCATAGATAGAGTTATGGATGACAATTTTTATTTGGATTTTAAATGATCTGTGTGTAATGTTTAGGATGTTGGTTTGGAACGAGGGTAAAATGGTCATTTGTCATCAATCAGCACATCCAGTCATATGTACAATCAAACAACATGATTTCTTACTCAGTCAGGATTTCTTATCCAGACAGACCTTTCCCAATCAACACTTTCTCAGCCAGCAATTATCAAACGGGGCCTATGTTTTTATAAATAGATATTTAAAATTTAAAAAAATATTTTTTTAAATAGATACTTGGCATACAAAAATGTTTTTTTTAAAAGGTTTTTATGTAGAAAAAATTAGGTTTTTAAAGTGAAAATATGTTTTTTTTTTATAAACATGATTTTATAAAGAAAAAAAACATTCGAAACAAAATTTTCAAAAAAAAAAAAAACTAAACTTGGGTTAAAGTGATAATAAAATTTTGAAATCTGGAATAAAAGTGTAAATTTTGAACCTATTTGTAATAAATTTTAAAATCTATACCAAAAATGTAAATTTGAAAAATAAGATGCCCTGATGATCAAATAAAATTGTCAAAATAAATACACTTGCCCGTTTTAGGGACTTTAATTGAATAAAAATATATATAGAGTAAATAGATTATGAGACCAAAATAAAATAATATTGTAATAACAAAAAGTAGTATTAGAATGCTATAATAAAGAAAGTACATTGCTATTTTTCGCATTTAACCCTTCATTTAAGATTTGTTTAGAGCAAAGAGATAACTGTTAAATTGTTTGATTCTCACATACTGCCATTTTAATAAAAATGGCAGTTGAAATCATCCATGTTAACACATAATGATATGATCATGGAGGCTTTTACCAACACATCTTAAGATTCTACAAGTTTAATCTTTACATGACAATAAGGCTATATGGGATTTGGTGAAAAAAGAAAAATATAGCTTTGCATTACCTATTAATTATATTGAACCCCGGATATTCCTTTAATTATCTTCTTCTCCCTATGAAAAGAAACAAGTAACCAAAAGAAATAAGACATGATTAATTCTTTTTTTTCTTCTATGGGACAAAGGTAATAGTAGTAATAGTAGTAGTAATAGCATGATACAAAGTAGATTTTCCCCAAATGCCTATCCAAATCAATCCATCTACTCTTCTTTTCTTACACATTGCTTTCTCTTTTAGTCTTTACTTCTATCTTCAATTCAAGCCTTCACCTTTTTTACTTTTTTCCACCAACCTGCACCCCATTTCATACAAAACTTAAGCCTTATAAAAAATAAAAAATAATTAATAATAATAATAATAGAGAAATTTTACATATTAACGCCTAGTTCGAGGCTTGCAACGAAATTCAGCCAAGAGTGCAATGTGATCAGAAGACCATTCTGGAGAAGGAAGTGCTGTATCTTTCCTTAAGCTATCTTCATCCAAAAGCTCCAACAATGATTCCACAGTCAAACTATCAGCTGTTGAAAACCAAATCATAATGTAAATTTACAATTATAAAAACTAACCCTTTTAAAGAAATTTTATATTTTATATATATACACATACCCGAGTAAAATATGTAGTCTAGGGTACCAATGAAGTCTCGTGTGCAATTTGTAAACAATGGTTCATTTGTAGCAGGATCCACTCGCCTCTTTTGTTGCTCATAACCAAGTCCACCTCCAATTCTTGCAAATGATGAGTATGCACTAACCTTTTTTTTATATATAAAAAACACAAACTTCAAAACATGATTTTATAAAAACTTTGGCCAATATATATGTATTATGTAATACCAATGGCAAAGTGTGAGTCAATTTGGTAGCTGGTCTTAAAATTCCAAGAGGGTCAACTGCTAAATCGGGATGCATTGGGTCAACTTTTCCAATTGCTAAA